GGAGTCCAGACTGAAGATGCTGGACATTATTACTGTCAGAGTTACAACAGTGATTATGTATTCACACAGTGATAAAGAGTCGTACAAAAACCTCCGTCAGTCAGAGTCACAGTGATGAACTGATGCTGCAGCTGCTCAAACACTATCACACACTACTGACACACAGAGACCAAACACAAAACTACACATGAGCTCCAAACTGAGTTGAGTGTCCAGTGAAAGTGAAGAAAAAAATGAAAAGAAAAATAATGGTTTCCAGATTCATTAGCACAAAAAAATTATTTTCACAAGAACGCATAAAATGTAGTCAAGTAGGACAGCATCAATTTGTGCATATAAAATATTTCATAAAATCAATTTGGAAAAATAAATAAAAATTATCTAAATATGAAAACATGAATAGCATTTTCAGTGTCAGCGTCAGCAATATGAATCTATACTGCATTAAAATGATTACCTGATTTTCTTACTGCCAACAGCAAAAATGCAGTGAAACAAAGTAATAGTGCAGCTGAAAACTCTTGAGCTCTTTACTAAGTGCACTTTAAATACATCACACAAACATATTTACACTCCAGAGACATCCAAACTTCTAAAAAGAAAAAAGAAGAAAAAAAGTAGAAACACATGCCATTGTAGCATGAAACAATGAAACACAATTAAGGTCACACAATAAATCAGTTCAACTTCTAGGGAACTCAACGCTGCGTCCTCTAGGGGGCACAATGGGAAATACAGCCTGCATGAACGGTATCTGAAGCACGTGTTAAACAACGCCAACTATTGGCCCACATGGCCCATGACGTCATAGGTAGGGAGCCCGGAAGTATAAAAGGGTACCTGATGAATAAATCATCCTCTTTGCTGTCTTCAGGAGCCGTCTGTTGGAAGTGCGTGTGAGAGACCAAGGCAGGTGAGCTTGATAAAGATGGGGTAGAAGTAGATATTTTACCTACTCCTTTAACAGATCATAAAGCCATCTATATAAATGTGAACCTGCACTCCAAAAACCATAATGCAAATATTTCATATTGGAAACTTAATAATTCCCTCTTGCTGCATAATGAGGTCCAAAAGAAAGTTAAAGATTTGATTTGTAGGTTTTGGTTTAAAGCTAAACTGGAAAATACATTTGGGAAAAATTGGGAACTTCTAAAGTTTGAAATTGGCAAATATATGAGGAAGTATGGTTCCTTTATGGCCAAATGTAAACGAGCTGAAGAAATTAGAATAATAACAAGATTAACAAATTTGTCTCGGAGACATCCAAACTCTTTTAGAGGATGAAAAACTAGAAATTGCTGAGTTATCAAGTAAACTAGATGATTTGTATAACAAAAAAGCTGAAGGTGACTTTTGCCGACTTTTTGTGAAAAATTGAGACTTTTGAGGGTGGTTCTAGAGATTTTCTGAGGGAGGGGTTTGGCAACACTGGGTCTAGTGTGACCGGCCCTTTACTGTGCGTTCACACCGCCGCCGTCGAGATCGTCAAAAATCGCTCTGGCCGCCCTGCCAACAATGCTGTAGAAAGATTCGTAGATGCTCTGACGTAGATCGAATGCTTATCTTGTATTTAAAGGGGA